ATTAGCAATGTTAGTTAGAGTGAGACCAGCATTCGAGAGTTTTACAGTGTATGTATACCTTTTGGTTACCTTCAATAAAAAATTTTACTCGTTTACGGGTCTCCAAATTTTGGAAAATAAAAGAACAAAACCTGAGCATAATTACTAATTACAATTATTAGCAATTAATGCACAAATTATCATTCAAATGGCATTCTTTTAAAAACTTTTTATCAAAATCAACCTACCTAAGTTAAGAAAACGTTCGAAATTAAAATTAATAATACGATAAAATGACCTGGAATTATTCTAGCTTACGTCAGAACGACACACAGTGCATATGCAAATATACCAAGTCATATAACCTACCTAAGTTAAGAAAACGTTCGAAATTAAAATTAATAATACGATAAAATGATCTGGAATTATTCTAGCTTACGTCAGAACGACACACAGTGCATATGCAAATATACCAAGTCATATAAAATGAAGATAATAAACCGTCCAATAATATTTTTAGAATACGATAACATAAAGAGCCCAATGGCGCAAAAATGTCGGTTCTGTTACAGTGCGCCGTAAAATTTGAATAAAATGTTGCATATTATATGATGCCTAGCGACTAGAGCGACCGTATTTTAAATATTATGTACTTATCTGTTTTCTGATTTAATAAAATTGTAAAATCGGATTTCTCTTCAAAAGTTATCAACATACGAACTAATCTAAAAGGAAACGTAAAACGTTTTTGTTCTCATTCTTTTGTTTGTTGAATTGAACATGCTGTTTCATATAAATTACGAATCAAATAGCTTCCGTCATATAAAACAGTTTAATTTTTCCCCACAAGATGGTATTGTTTTTTTGTTCAGAAAACGAACGGATTGTATGCGGTGTTGAAATTAATCGTTGATCCCCGTCTAAAGTGGCATTTTTTTCCGATGTTACCATTTATTACCGCGGTATTTTATCCTAGAAACCAAAGGTATTTGCGAGAGAACGAGATTTGGCCGCAATAAAAGCAACCGCGTTGTAAATCATAGAGGAAGCAAGGCGAAATGTGACTGCGATTCATGTTACATAAAAGTCTTAATAAATCTAATGGTAAAAGTCTAGCGTACGTTTACCACTAGATCGTTGCAATTCCATTCAATTTGGCGCGGATGTACGTACGTACTGTTTCCCCTCTTTATCCCACTGTCGCGTCGTGTCGTGTCGTGTCGCGAGGAGCTGACTTGGTGGGATACCAGACACATTTATCTGGAACGGGGATAAATGGAGAAAACTTTTAACAAGGTTTTCATTACGGTTACGTTTTCCTTTGGCTTTTTCGTAACGTCAGGGCGTGTTTTATACTGAATTTACAACCCTCTGGATGTTCCGCTATGGCAACTGTGTATTCGGTTTTAAAAGTTCGCAGCTGGTTTCTTCGTTTCCTTTGCAAGCTCATAATTAATTTAGCCTCGCAGCTGTTAAGAGACTACATCCAAACGAGCTCCAACAATAAACTTTTTCTCGCTTTCTTCTTTCCTACTTCTTCACCATTTAACTTCTGCTATGATTATTTCATAGACAGAGCCCGATTCGTTGTGGCTTTCAAATTAAATTAACCGCCCCATTACAATTATCAGCTACACAAGGGGCTTTCCTTTTAACTTAACTAGTGTAGGTATGTTTGTCACTTCCTCAGCTTAATAGTAAGCACAAAACGGTCAAAGATTGTACTTTCTGCTTACAGATTGTACATGAGATACGTCACTTTAGAATTAACAGACGATTTAAACATTTAATTAAAAGATGGAAGATTTACTTAGGCATACTCTCAACACCTATCCAGGTTGTTTTCATTTACCGCCCCATTACAGTTATCAGCTACACAAGGGGCTTTCCTTTTAACTTAACTAGAGTAGGTATGTTTGTCACTTCTTCAGCTTAGTAGTAAGCATAAAACGGTCAAAGATTGTACATTCTGCTTACTGATTGTACATGAGATACGGCACTTTAGAATTAACTGACGATTTAAACATTTAATTAAAAGATGGAAGAGTAACTTAGGCATACTCTCAACACCTATCCAGGTTGTTTTCATTTAATCAAAACCGTTAACTATCTTTGCGCTGCGCAATCCTCTGCTTTATATCCCTACTACTCCTTTCGTCCTGACTTATACGACTTTCTAGATACCTAAAATCAGCCACTTCTTCTAATTCTTCGTCTCCTGACTTTATATTCGCTCTTTCCCTATTTTTTCTTTCCTTGCTTATAGTATTTTTGTTTTACTTTTATTTATTTTCATACAATACTGTTTTGTCAGTACCGCTTCCATTTTATTTAAAGCTATCTCTAACCCCTCCTTGCTAATAGTACTATATCATCTACAAATCCTAGCATACTATAGATTAAAAAGTAGCGGTGACAGTGTGCATTCCTATCTGACTCCCTTCCTAATATTTACTTCTCTACGTTGCAGTTCCAGCTTCATGTATCACCTCTCTATCTCTGTAACGCAACTTTACATTTTTAAGTATATTTATCGTATCTTGTCCCATTTAACATTGTCAAAAGCTTTTCCTAGATCTACGAATCGTATGTATCAAAACCTTATTTAAAAGAAATCGCCAAGTTTAACTTATTTAAGAATCGGAACTAAACAACTGCAAAGAAGTAGTCGAGTTTAAATGCCATTATTCGGGTGCGTAGTTGGTTGCATATAAATACATTCCAATGTCATGTTATATTACCGTTTCACCCTCGACATACTTTAACCTTACCTAATCTAATGTAACTTTGTAAAATAATTTAGCGTTTGTTTCGTATTTGTTACCGACGAATTCTTTAAATTGTTCAACATAAAGTAATATTATGCTTTATGTATATTTTTATTTGGAAATAAATGCACTCTAGTAGATAGTAGATTGCGAGAGAATAAATCTGAACGGCGATGTTCTTTTACTATATTTCTACTGAACTGTTTGTCGATTTTGTTTCATTCCGATGTGAACGCGAACGCTTACATGGTCACAATTTATTCATGCACGTATACATAATGCGCCTTCAGGGAAGAAGTACATCAGCCACGTGAATGGTCCTGTTCCAGGAATTGTTTTCATTCGATACGTATGACCTAAATTTCCTTCAATCCCGACGGCACCTTAGAAATAATTAATTCATGAAATGTTCGAGTGGAAATTGTGCTTTATTACTACTTATTTTTCTCAAAATGATCACTATTTTTTATACAATTCCAAAAACCTTAAAGAATTGAATAACCAAAACCGGTTCCCATAGAACCTAGAAGCAATGTAAGTTTTGTAGGTATTGATAAGTTATCTATTAAGTATCTAATAATGACCACCCGAGGTAAAAATATTGAGTCTCTCAAAGTCTTTGAAAGCGAGACTCGAGTCTCCGTCTCTCATCGAGTCTCTCTGGTGTCGCTGAGAGAGACCGTCGAGAGACTCTCAAAAAAAACTGTTTAGCGTCTCTGAACGAGAGACTCGAGTCGCTCATAGAGAGATCCTCAGTTCGTATCCAGTCTCTGAACGAGAGACTCGGATCTCTGAACGAGAGACTCCAATCTCTCAATAAGTGGTGTCTCTATAGGCATGGTTAAAATTTTGTACGTTCAACATATTTCAGAGATCCCAGTCTTTCTACGAGAGACTCGAGTCTGTCAATTTTTCATTTTTATTCATTCAGTCTCTCTGTGAGAGACTCGAATCTCTGAATTGACAATTTTATCGTTCGAGTCTCTCATACAGAGACTGTGAGAGATCCATAAAAGCACCTAGGCAATAACTGAGAGACTATAAGACAGGGAGAGACGCTCTCAGAGACGCTGAAAGACTCTGAGAGACCGGAGAGAGACTGAAATTTTTTGTCTAGGGCAGCAAGAAACGATTTTGATTTTAGACATACCGAAAGCACACCCCCAACAAGACAAACTAAATTTTCAGTAAGCGATATTCACCCTAAAACCACATTTATATCATTAAAAAGATATAATTTATATAAGGTCATACAGTATTTTTGTAAATATTTAATGTACCATTTCCTTCCCTGTGTATAATAAAATAATCGGAGCCGGTCAGGGGCAATAAAGATTTACCACCAACGTTTCGCCTTTAATTTGAGGTTTTTTCAAGGCTACAATAGTTACTGACGGTGTTAAGAAATTTTACAAAATGCCTAGTTAATGATAACTTACTATGTAGTAAATAATAGTTACCTATTGAGACAAGACATCCTTTTTACACCTGATGAGCTCTGATTATCTATTAGTAAATTTTTAATATTTTTTATGCACAAAAATTCACCTTAAAAGTACGCCTTGCATCTTCTAATAATACAACGAAAATGTGTTTATATTAATAACCAAATATCGAATTTGTCTCGTAGGTACAGCTACGAATTCCTTTACTGCTGGAAGATGAACGGTGCACATTAAGATTGTTAGGCTGGTAATTTTTTATAGATATCTAAAGCATTCATATCGGGCGAGAGTCAAAGCAGATAGCTGCTTATGGTAAAAAAAAGATATTTATTACTGCCCTTACCGTATAATACGGTGTGAATTATAAATACACAAAAGACAACGCTGATTTATTGCTTTTTCGATTACAAATGTACATCATTGTTGATTTACCATTTTAAAGATGTTACGTACAGATATCTAAATTGGCCTTTGTAAAAGAAGATTTAAGAATGGTAGGATAGCCATATATGTACCAAATGAATACCACCAAAAACTTATGACAAAAGTTTCCTTTTTTGTCTTTTATAATTTTACAATGCCACCCAATAAACTGTTTACAATTATTTAGAATTTACATTTTTATGTACCAATTTAATTAAATAGCTTTTACTTGATGTCGATCGTACCTATTCTTTTACGTTTAGGTTTTTAAGTTATTTTATTCAATTCAATTATTATTTAGACCAGTAGAAAGAAAGCTTACCGTTTCTAAAGCAAACAGATTCAAGCACATATAAAACAAATGCCAAATTAAACTTACCGAATCGTCAAGAGACCGCTGATTGTTCTGCGGGTTGCACACATCACTTAGATGGATGACAGTTAATTATAATAACTATAATTCGGATAAGTATCATGTTAATAAGATAATGTAACACTATTACGCACTCTTAATGTTCAAAGTACAATTTTAGTCTAAAACTGTTACCACGAAAGCGCGGCGCACGACGTCGACACTCCCGAAAGACAATCGAAAACAAACACGACGCGACAGGACTTACTCAAATGCAAAATGTATGTACTTGCAAATTATTGACGAACACAAGAAATATAATTCGTAATTGTTCAATTTCATCATTTTACAATCCGAACAGAAGCTAACCAGCGAACGCGCACTAATAACGTACATGCAAAAACTTTAACGCCAACTAATAACATCGTTCGTGACCACGGGCACTTGATTAATTAAACAAACAATAAAACTATACGGATTGTAGTCACCAGTGGCGTATCTTTGGGCTTGCTGTGTTTAACATATCTACAAATATGTCCATTTTAGGCTCCTGTAAATAAAAGTTAAATATAAGAAATTATTAATAACTATAAGTGCACGAAATAATAATTAGATGTTTGATTAATTTTCAGTTATTTATAAAGAATAAAAATATAACAACTTTACACAATAATTATTTGGACCTAAGAGAAACTTGACCCTTAAAGATAAACAAAATCTATTACTGAAATAAACTTGAACTAAACTGATAAGTCTTGGAGCAAGTTAATAAGTTCGACTACTTGAAGGAAATAATAACATTGCGGGAGATTGTTGAAGTTGGAAGTCCATATTGATGAAATAATGTTTCGAAAATTGGATAGTAAACATTTGCAATAACTTGGAGAGAAAAGTTTTTGCTGCATTAACCCTCTACTACTTCCTATACCCCTTTTAGACTCCTTGATGCTTAAAATATTACAGAAGGGTGGAAAGCGGAAAGTAATCAATTGATTTTGGTGAAAAAGCATTAATCAGTTAATGGGCATTGTTTTTTAGGGTTCTCTACGTAGAAGTTTACAAAACAATTGTGCAGAACATTTAAACATTCTCGAATCTATCTTATACAAGTGTGTGTAATCAGTAATCATTAAATTATGTAAAGGGTGCAAGCAAGTACTTATAAATGCAGCCGGCTTGAACGATTCCATATCTCCAATCCCTAAAAGCTCGGACTAACCCGCAGCTTACAGAAGCATTCACGAGCATCATCACGTCGCTATTGTCATTACATCACATTTACAACCATACATTAATTTTTGGTCCTTCGAGACGGATTTGGACGGTCCAAAATTTGAATTTCAGTTTTTCAAGCCTTTGTATAGAAATAGGTACGAATCCTTCAACATCATTAAAGACAGTACAACTGTAGGGATAGATATACAGGGACAAAAGATTAGTATGCTTAGATTTGCAGATGATATAGCAGTATTAACATTTAGTAAGAAGATAGCTTTAAATATAATGGAAGCGGTACTGACAAAACAGTATTGTATGAAAATAAATAAAAGTAAAACAAAAATGCTGGTATGCAAGGGAAGAAACAATAGAGAAAAAGCGAATACAAAGATAGGAGACAAAAATTTAGAAAAATTGGTCAATTTTAGGCATCTAGGAAGTCAGATAAGAGTAATAGGGATATAAGCAGGGGATAACGCAGGGTGGAGTCGCCTTCAATAAAAATAAGTAACTTGTATAGTCGCGAACGGTTAATTCAGAAATTCGAAAAAGGTTGTTAAAGGTATATGTTTGGAGCGCGTCGTTGTACGACTGCGAAACATGGACGGTGGGCGCAGCGGAAAAGAAAAGGTTAGAAACGTTCGTGGTGTTACAAGTGAATGATGAGGATACCGTGGATAGAGAAGATTAGAAATGAAGAAGTATTAGAAAGAATAGGAGAACAGAGGGCTCTATGGAAGTCAATAAGAAATAGTGGAGATAGATTAGACCTCCTCAGGAATGAGGGTCTAGTCAGAGACATATTAGAGGCAGAAACGGGAGGCAGGAGGGGTAGAGGTAGACCTAGATTAGATTATTGTTCGCAAATAGTTAAGGATGTTCTAGTTTTAGGGAAATGCGAAAATTAGCTCAGGATACAAAGGAGTGGCGGTGTGTGTCCAACCAGTCTTTGGACTGACGACCTTATGATGATGATAACGAATTCTTCAGCATAGTGGAAAACACCCCTATTGTCGATCATTGAAATCTAATTCGTCGTACGATGTTATTCTTAATAATTGTCGGATTTTATTGGAATTGTAATGAATAACGGAATAATCAACTGTTTGAATGTGAAATCGTCTAAATTATGTAAAATTAGATTGTAAGAGGTTACCAGTTGTTTCTACAACAACATTAAGTGGAGCGGGCGAGCTTAGCGCGATTAAAAAGGATAATTTGTTAAGACCGAGGATCTAAAAGGACGAAATCTTTCCTGCGTTAATTAAGGAAGCGCGGTATAATGAGTACATAATTTTCCATTTAAAATCTTACTTCACCCTCCCGCAAGTGACAAGCCATTTATAACTGAAGATAAGGGCTACCGCTTATACATTAACGGAGTTCCTTGAACAACCACAAATTTGCCCAGCTACGCCACGCCGCCTTGGATAAAACACCAGTAATTAGAAAAAATACACATATATATATAAGCATATATAGTGCATCAGTGTGTTACTAACTGCTAGGAAGTAAAATGATAGTGGGAAGTCCGCACAAATTACCAAATTGTGTATCTTTAAAAATTTTTTGTTCTGCTTGTAACGGTTGATACGCGCATTGTTTTAGTCATGTTCTTTCATCCTTGTTGAGATGGATCTATCATCTATCTTTTTCCGATGTAGAACTCCACAGGAGCATGGTAACTGATAGACACCATCAGATTCCAGCGGAACAACATCCTTCACTCTGGTAATCTAGTCTTTAAGTTTACCGCAAGTATTGAAGATTGTTTTGATGCCATCCGTCTGCAAAATTCGACTGATTTTGTCCCTGAATCCTTTAATTAATGGAACACTTGCTGTAAACTTTGGCTTTACTTCAGTGAACTTTAGTGCTAATCTGCGAGGATGTCCATCCCTCGTATCACGCCTCCAGTACCCACTAAAGATAAGACGATCAGTGGCAAAACAAAATTCCTTATTTAATGATTCTGATTGAAGGATTGATCATTGACTGTTTCTGTTCCAGATGATGCTGAGAATTGGTAATGAGATATCGTTTGACATGGGGAGACTTCTGGTGGATGGTGTATGTCCGCAAGTGCCATAACATAAAGGATTAATTACTGACTCTGCTTTGGATGATGGTGAGAATTGGCATTGATATATCTTTTGATATGGGGAGACTTGCGGTGGATGGTGTATGTCCGCAAGTGCCATAACATAAAGGATTAATCACTGACTCTGCTTTGGATGATGGTGAGAATTGGCATTGATATATCTTTTGATATTGGGAGACTTCCAGTGGATGGCGTGTGTCCTAAGGTGCCATAATATATAGGAAGACCAGTTTTCTTCGTGTTCCCGATTCGGGAACTGCGGTTAGAATCCGGATATTCGTTTTCTTTAGATTTTACTATTATAATTGTAAGATTTAAGGTATCTATAATGTGAATCCTGACATTATCCTGTTTTATCTTTAAAGAAAACCATGCCAAAAGGCAAAACTGTGAACGCTAGCCAATGTATTGTTATTCCAAATAAACTTTGTGAAACGAACGACGAGTAATTGTTTTTAATCTAAAAGCAGGAGGTAATGTTGCGCACGTTAAAACAGAAGAGGTGAACTCGTGACGTCTGAATGATGAAGAGAGGCGCTGCGCCGTTGCCAAGAAGAAATAATTTACAACACCCGTAAGACAGGGCGTAATTACTAGAAAGACAACCGCGGTGTATACGGAGTAAGAGAAGGGAGGACGATAGATAAACAGAACGAGGAACGGGAGTAAAAGAAGAAACGGGAAACGTTAGATGCATTCGCTGAAAGCGGTCGCCTATAAAACAGTTTATGAGTATTTAAGCTGAATATTACCGCTGAAAGTGAAGTGGCCTAACGCTTAGATCCTTGTACCGAGATCCTTAATGTTTCGACGACTGTGCGCGCTGCCTCCTCTGTGCTCTTGCCGACAACGGATGTTAATTGAAAAGTAAAAAGGCAACGAGAACCAACTGTCGAGTTTGCAGAAGACATTCTAAATGAGTTGTAAAGTACCTACGTACATTGCTACACGTTACGTATTACCAAACCCTCACTTCTCTTCGCGTTCTACGACCCACACCACCGACTGGAGGTTTCGTTTCAATAAAAAAGAGCTTCGTCAGGAAAACAACCCCAGATCTCTTTATTTTTGAAAAAAATCCACATAGCTGCGTCTACCTCCCGAAAAATGGTCTCACAAAAAAGTCAGAACTCATTCATGATAGAGGAAAACGTTTCAAATCTGGTTCGTCATTCAAACCGTCTAAATGAATCACTTTTTGCTCTAATAATGCTACGTAGATGTAGTCGTAGATTCTTTGAATGGTTGGCAATCCTGATACAATACGAAAGCAATTTGCAGATTCAGTTTTAAAACTGTTTGTAGGTATGTACAGTCTATTTCAATTTGTTAGAATTGTGACCTTGAATAAATCTGCGCGAAGATAGAAAGAATACACACTAGGCGTGAGCAAGACAGAAATAGTTGGAACAAGCTTGAACGAGCAGAGCTCTCGATGGGCGGTCTTAGGAGATCGGCTAGAACTGTACAGTACTAGACGAAAATGTTTAGCAATTTCTTAAAACAAAAATGTATATAAATTAACAATAGAAAACAAAGCAAAAGTTTTATAGGTGTGTAGAACGTTAAGTTAATTCACTTGTTATTATTTTTGGCTAAATATGCTTTTAAATAAAGCATATTCTTAAATTTTAACGAGGCAGTTTAAATAATTTTGCAAATGGTACTGTACACTTTTGTCTAGTTCTCGCTCGATGATCGGTGAAGAAATGAGCTCCGCAGACAAATATGATTGAATTTGGAATCATGCTACGGCGCATATTAATAAAGGGAAGAGGCATATCTCAAACTTCTTGAAACGAACAGTACCTATATTTCATTATTATCAATTGTTAAGTAAGACCAAGAAACGTGAATTAAATCGGCATAAAAACCTTTAAATTAAGCAGTAGATACCCACCTACTTATTAAGATTTATACATAAATTATCATTGTATACATATGATTCCCTAATTTAACAAAGTCGTGAACGAAACGGTGAAATTTAGTTAAGATTGTAAGGAAATAAAATAATAATGAAGTCTTGCATTTAATTTTGGAAGAAATACTTGAAAACGACACAAAGTCACAAGTTTATAAGTATTGTTGCTCCAAGATTGTCTTTGGCCATATGCAGTTTTATCAAACTACTCGATCCGAAAGTTACATAGAGCAATTCAGTTCCTGAATTGAATTCTCTAACAATTGCAGCGAATTTCCCATTATAATAGCGTCTTCGAAGAGAAATAACAATGGAAACGTACTAAGCGGACGTCATCGTCATTTCAGCATTTTTTTCTACAATAGCACAAACTTTACACATTTGGGGTTACGTCTGATACGCGAAAATGATAAAAATCAGAGGGTAACTATAGAAATTGATGAACTATTGAATACATTTGCAAGACATAATAAACGACGTGTCATTATATACGGAGTCATTATAAGCGATCATAACAATATTATTCACTATGTGCGAATTAATCATTTACCATGGTCCCACTGCTTAAAAGTTTGATTAGTCTCTTAATAAAAAGACCTGCTTTTGTTTATAACTTCTCTTTTCGAAGATAATTATTCCAATAATTTTTTAGCTAGACTAAGAAATTAGGTTATTACCTATTATAGTGAAAACGGAAGCTTTCATATTCTATTAGGCTTTATCCGCGGCGTCGCTCGCGTTGATGTCCTAAATACATGTCAATGATCATCGACGACCACACAATACTAATTTTTCAATCCCTAGGGAAGAGTAGTTTTTTCTGTGTAATAGGTACTTTTCCAAAGTTCTTTTCTCTATCTCTGATAATGTGTCTACAAAATTTTTTGATATGTATTACCTACTCGCGGCTTCTTTCGCGTTGATACCGTAAGTACGCAAAAACTAATTCTGCTATCCCTCGGGAGTAGTAGTTTTTGTCTGGATAAAAGGTACCCTCCGACAAAATTTCATGCTGATCGGTTAAGTAGTTAAGGCATGAAATAACAACAAGCAAACAAACCTAACTTATATTTTAAATGCAAACTTAATTAAAAGAGAAAAAAAGTTAAAAGGGTAATAGTATGTGGCCACTAAAAGTTATAATAAACAAATTACCCTAATACTATTCGTAAGAATAATATAATATCAGAGGGTTTATGACTTCGAAATAGTGGATGGATATATTTTTGAGACCATTTAACAATATTCAATTTAAATGTGTACGCATGCAAATATCTCATTCAGAATTAAATAACATACAAAAATTAATGACACCTATTGTTAATCGTTTCGAACGAGACTGATGAAACTAAAATCCATGTAACGAAACAGATTTTATAAATAAATAATTCAAAAACCAAGAAATATTTCATTTCTTAATTAATTATTTCATTGGGATTCTTTGGGAAATAAAACTTTTCCATTCATATCTAACGATAAGAATATTAATGGAATTATTCAAAATGGAAACAATTGATTTTCTATTTATCCATCTATTTATTTATGAATGGTTTTATATAGAATTTATAAATTTTGCATTGGTTCCCATTGAAAATCAATGGAAATTTTTCCTATGTAAATATTAATGGAATTATATTGTAAATGGAAACAATTATTTTTCCATTTATGCCAAATGGTTTTGAATGGAATTTACAAATTTTCCATTGATTCCCATTGAACTTCAATGGAAATTTTTCCTACGGGATAGATTGATATACTGTCTAATTAATTAATAATCATAGTAGAGAACTTATTTCGAGAGTTTTAGTTGTGAACTTTTCCACAACTTATTATGTATTACTGTCGCGTTTTCCCCATTTTGTAGCGTCTATACCTTCGAACGCGCATTGGTAAAAATGTAAGAGTAAAACTTGAGACTAATTGAAATTGTGTAGAGAATTTGAATAGTGCACGTAAAAAAGGATGCAAATTGGATTTCTTAAAAAAAAGCCTTCAGTAGGTACCTAATTCTGTCGCTTAATGGGCTGCTTATTTGCATTATTCGAAACAATAGGCGCTCCTATTCTAAAATTTTAAGGGGTTAATTGTAGCCAGTTCTTGCTGGATTTATTCATTCGCCGTTCGTTCATTGACGAGCACTCATTTCACGAAACATTCACAAAAACACCACAATAGCAGACGGCGGGCTTAATACAATTTGAATAAATGATCCAGTATATACATACATACATATACATCTAAGTAATTATTGTACTTACGTTACAACCTGCAGTACCCCTGAACCACCCTTCTCTAGAAACGGCATTGAGCGAAACTGAAAAGAAACCAACTATTTACTATCGTTGAAGGGAAAAATGTCAAGAAAAATGCCTAATTGTTTAAATTTAATTACTGTATCACTAGGTTTTCAAAATATGGAGTTCTAAAATTTATGGGTTTCAGTTTTAAAGACTTTAGATCTCAAAAATTAATACATTGTTAACACCTGACATTGAAACAGAATCATGTTTCGCTATAGAGAATGACCGCTTATACTTCAAGATTCCAGAGCCGCCAGAAATTACTCATTTCACTTTACTTCTTTCCATGTGCTGCCTTTTAGGCAATGCTTCACAGAATGTTGTTAAAATTATAATTGATAGAGGTCATTGATACTTTTGAAGCTTCACTATCATTTAATTTGTTATTGTTTCTGTAACTTTTCAATACCACTTTAACGTTTAACAAACACTATTTAATGTTTGTTCGACTAGTTTTGTCTTTATTAGGACATTTTCAATAATCAAATACAACCAAATATTTGATCAAATATTTCATTCTTGAAAATGTCCTAATAAAGACAAAACTAGTCGAACAAACAATAAATAGTGTTTTATTTTTAAAGTTAAAGTGAAATATTGATAAGTTACAGAAATTTACAATCAACACTCCCACAAACTTCCTACCGACGATAAATATTTCTGCCAGATGCTCCAGAGTTTGTAAAAAATTCGTAATATTATAGTCTTTCATTTTTAAATTTGATACCTGGGGAACTATATCAATACTTTTTGTAAGCAGCTAGGCCAATTTTAGAGGCCAAACATCCCCCAGGCACAATTAAAATGTTATTTAAATTGTACCTGGGGGATGTTTGGTCCCTTCTATTCGTCTAGAGGTATTGAAACAGTTCCCGAAGTATTATATTTAAAAATGAAGACTCACACTATAAGTAAAATTACAATCTTCTTTTTGCGAACTTTCAAGCTTCTGGCAGAAATTTACCGCCGATGGGAAGTGTCGGGCAGTGTTCAAGGAGAAAATGAAAAACGAAAATTTACCTGAATATTAAAGGGATGTTTATAATTCATTCCACTAGCCCGTTACTTCGTAAACAAAAATAATAAAAATTACAATTTGTACCCGAATTTGTAAAAACAAAATCCCAATTGAAATCAATTTACTAAGTATTTCAGAAAATACTACAAACGGCACAGTGAACGCCATCTGTAGCACGATGCTACATTTTAGGATTACGTATTTTTCAACAAGGTCCACTTGTGTGGATATCTACTTGCTGAAAACGAATCCCGGCGTAGCCAACCTCAACGTGATAGGCACGTTAGCTTAATCGAATAAAATAATTCGAAGTGGTCTGTATTCTGTCGAAACTGCCAGACGCGGATCGCGATTTCGATCTTTTTGGATCTCATCAGCGCGTCGCAGGCAGCTCCGACAGAACACAGACCAACTTTTACCTGCTGTCTTAACAGTGCGTTTCAGAAAATACTACAAACGGCACAGTGAACGCCATCTGTAGCACGATGCTACATTTTAGGATTACGTATTTTTCAACAAGGTCCACTTGTGTGGATATCTACTTGCTGAAAACGAATCCTGGCGTAGCCAACCTCAACGTGATAGGCACGTTAGCTTAATCGAATAAAATAATTATTAATTAATTTTCACCATTATACGTACTGTTAAGACAGCAGGTAAAAGTTGGTCTGTGTTCTGTCGGAACTGCCTGTGACGCGCTGATGAGATCCAAACAGATCGAAATCGCGATCCGCGTCTGGCAGTTTCGACAGAATACAGACCACTTCGAATTATTTTATTAGGTATTTTAGTTGATATTACAAATTAAATTGTAACAATTAAGAAAATTGAAATAATTTTTAAAAAAAACATGTCAAAATTGATTTTTTTTCGTGTACCTAATGTCTGACGGCTCTGGGATCTTGCTCTATTATAGTTATAGGGAGTAAATCAGTATAATATGCGTAATACTAGCAGATATGGAGCTTTTAGTACTTAAATGTTCTGTTATAAAGAGTTTAGAATATTTCTTACGTAAAAGTTCGTCGAAAGTATCTGAAGTAAAGCAGTCGGAGTTAGCGGAAGTAAATGGCGTTAATATTTTCTCACCGTTATCACGCAATTTACGTGTTACTGTTTAGAATCGTCATTTATCAAGAAAACCTAATGGATCGTGCCGAAACCTGCAGGAACGGAGCAAGGTCACCAGGGTGTGTCTGGCGGATTAAAAAAAGGAATTGATCGGCCGGGTTAGTAGGCTGGTGAAAATTTTATTCTAATAATAAAGGGCTCTCTGGACGGTCGGTTGGCATAGCCGGGATCCAAAAAAAGGAATATCTGCGGTAAGCTACAAGCTTACAAATCATTATTAATTTGCCTAATTTCTTTTCGGGAGAGGAAAATAATTTGGACGGATGTCGGAGATCCGACATTGTTTATGCTCCCCTCGAGATTTTAGTGTCTGCAGGAGAGAGGCGGACTTCCCACGAAAACCCACCACCACCACCACCCTTCATTGAATAAAGAAGAAATTTCTGATGAAGGCTTTCTACAGAAAAGCTCTTTTACAAGTTGATTTATGGCCGGCTTTGTAAATATCAATTAAACTAAAATGCAAACGGGACAAATTAAAATTGAAACGAGTTTCTTACCGTCAATTTCGAAACGACCTAAACGTCGCGTTTTACATCCAGAAAATATTAGACCTCAATTTGTGTACGTACCTACTTTGACAATACACTCAATTATCTTTTAATTACACAAAAAACGGTTTTTATCGAAACTTCATCAGTAATTCGAAAAAGTAAAAATTTCGTTAAGGCCAAAAGAGTGCATATCTCACAAAAAAATTTCTTTGTTTATATAGCGACAGAGTAAAGAAATCTTTGTAAATATTTTCCATGTTTAAAAAATTATTAATTGCATTCATTTGATTCGAAAACATTCAGAGGAATTAATTAATTCCTTCTCATAGATATATATGAAGATTGGAAAAACTTTGGCGGTTGTTGTAGAACAAACAGAATAGCTCAAAACCCCAACGCCAAAACACGACACTGTAGTTGTCCAACTACAGTGTCGTGTTTTGGCTATTCTGTTTGTTCTCATAGATCAGGGATGGCGAACCAATGGTACGCGTGCCATTAGTGGCACGCGACACAATTTTTTGGGCACTACACTAATTTCAATCACAAATTTCATTATGCATTACGAAAAAAAGTCTGAAGTAGGTATTATATGACGACCAACCCTAAGTGAAGCTTCAACGCATAGAGATGTCATTCGCGCTTTTGAGGCTAAACTGCCAGTTTTCAAGAACGACATCATCACAAGAATCTACAAGTAATTTCCAAATTTGAAAAAATATAACAACAATTTAGAGATACATGAGAATCCAGACTAAGATCAAGTTACTGAAGAATTTGTTTCTGTGATTGATTCTTTAATCAAGGAATTTTCAGCGAGATTTTCTCGGCCCAGAGAATTATCGGAAATACTCAAGTTTATGTACCCTGATGTGACGTCATTTGATAAACTGAATTTGTCCCAATTCAATAGGTTGGAAATTGAAGAATATGAAATGCAGCTGAATTATTTCCAGTCTAGTTCAATATGGAATCAAAAATTTGTTGAAACAAGGAAAGAGTTAGAAATAATTGAAACAGAAAGATTAACAGGTGCCAAGTGAAAATGCTAATAACAAAATTTTGGAAGCATGGAATGCGTTACCAAAACAATTGAATTATTTGAAGAAGCTGACTTATACTATTTCAACAATGTTTTCATCAACCTATGCCTGCGTGTCATTATTTTCAGAGATGAGTAACATTAAAAACTCGATTAGAAACCGTTTGACAGATGACTCCAGTTCAGCATGCATTCTTACAAACTTAACATAAGTTATTTGTCATCTAATCT